TAATTCCATAATGGTGGTTTACAAATAATGCTGAAATGACATAATTTTCCCGAGATTTTTCATCACTTTTAAGTAAATTGTACTTTTGTATGCGTTTGTTGGAAAATGACAAATTCCTAAATTTACAGCCAGGCAAGAAAATGCTTCTTGAGATGCCTACATGTCAGGGCCCGCGGAACGGCGGGGATCGGGATCCTCGAGCCTCCCCCCCCCCCCCCCCCACTTTTTTTGAAAAAGTATATTAAGAGAAATAGAAAGAAAGAGAGCAAGAAAGAAAAAAAATAGTTAAACTGCCAGTGACACATTATAATGAAGTATCAAAATATGCTCATCTGACCCATGATTAAATTAAATGCCTAAAACCACGAGGGCTCAGTCCCCCTGGATTCCACCTAGGGCCCTAAGGCAGGCCCTTAGATGCTCATCTGACAGTAATTAAACGCCTAAAACCCCTGAGCTTCCGGGGGCTGTGCCCTGACCCCAACGAAAAGCCTCAAGGCGGGCCCCTTGATACTCATCTGACCGTAATTTGAGTGCCTAAAACCCTTGAGTTTCCGGGGGCTTCCGCCCCCTGAACCCCACGCCAATTAGTGACCTGCAAATGTCACAATTAGGGTATCAAATAATGCTCATCTGACCGTAATCAAATGCCTAAAACCCCTGAACTTCCGGGGGCAGACAAGGTATCAACCATAGTTCATCTGACTGCAGGCGCGTAGCCAAGGGGCGGTGGGTGGTCCCCCAAAAAACGCGTAGCGAGGAAGCGCGGGAGGCGTCTTATTTTTTTTCGTACCACGGCGAGCCCGGATTCCTGTTTTATCATGAATATTCATTAGGCAGGGCCGGGGAAAGTCTCGATTCTCTTGAATATTCATGTATGATCGAGGCATGCGCAGCATCGAATATCGTGTGTAACAAGTACGTTGGATTAATGGCAGGCCTATAATATGACATAGAAAAGCAATGTCATGGTCATTTAGATAATACAGTCATAAATGCTGTGTTTAATTACTAGTAAATGCCAAAATGTCAGTACCGGTAGACAAGATATATAGCATATATTTCAAATAAGAGTCTTGATAGGCAATTTGTGAGTAGCCTAGGCCTACTTTTCTGAGATTAATGGGAGTCTAGTTCTTTTCATGAATTGGTAAATAATCAGTTCTAGGTTTGCTTTTTAGATATTACAAGCAGAGGTTGCATTATGGTATTGAATATGTGATACAGTATTATAAACTGTATAAAATAGATAACAAGAATAGGCCTACATACAGACATTTATCAAAATAAAATACTTGTGTATTGCACTTAAATTATTTCTATGATCTATGCTCACTTAACTGCATAAGGAAGAAAAGGAAGAAAGAAAAATGGGATTAGAAAGAAGAATAACAAAGTTAAAAAGTAAAATATATATAAATAATAAATGAATTGAAGAAATAAAGAATACGGAATAGATACCAAGGAAGAAAGAAATAAATTGCAAGAAAATTGAAATGAAAAGAAGACAAAAGAAAAGGGAAAGGAGCAAGATATATTGATACCATCTTCAATCTTGTTTTCTTTTATCTTGTTTTTGTTTAGGCCTAGCTAACCATTTTTTCTTTCCTTTCTCTTTTTCTCTTAAAAGTTCTCTTTGGTTTCTTTCTAAAATAATGAGGGAAGGGGGGGGGGTGGGGGACTCGATGATAATTCATCATTTGAAGGTTTACAATGTGAAGTCCCGAGTTATATGCACCCACTGAAGAAAATCCATGTACAGGGTTGCTGCAGGAACCCCAGCACCCACAGATCCAACGCATGATGAGACAAACTCGAGAGAAAACTACACATTCTTTCACATACATTGAAGAAAAAAAAGAAGAAAAAAAAATCCAAGATCGGTTGAACTCTTTTTGACCCCCTCCCCAGGACGTCGATCAATTACATGTATGTGCCCCCCCCCCCAAACTCTGGCTACGCCCTGGCGATAATTACCCACTATTCAAATCTGACAGGTGCCCCTTTTTTCTTCAACAAATGCCCTTTAACTTCATAATAAGTGCCACTGTTCCATTTTCATAAGTGCCCCTTGTGATATCTGATAAAAGCCCTTTCATTTTTTTTACTTTGACACGCGCCCCCTTAAACTTTCTAACAAGTGCCTTTTTACCTTTTGATATGTGCCCCTTTCCCTGTTTAATAGGAGCCCCAACCCAACCCTTTCTCATAAATGCCCCTTGACACATGCCCCCTTTTCCTTTTTTTATAATTCCCCTTTTCTCTCTTTCTCTGTCTTTCGAAAACTATCTTCTGCAAGGTTTGTTCTCTTGACTGAGCAACCTGTTGCAATTCCTTTCTGTCTCACTTTCAGTCGTACTTGTTGCCACTCATTTGCATTCACTCGTTATCAACTACCATCAACCATTCCATATTCACTCCATTACTGTCCACATTTCAATTTCATTCTCTTCACTCTCCCTTTTTGGCAGCCTTTCTAGGAGCTTTGCTAGAAGTAGAACATTTTTAATGTAGAGGCCAGAGAAACCGGAAAGTATGTTAATCATTTTATTCAAATATCTAACTTGAAAAAAGGAAAGTGAAACATTGTTTAATTACAATATATTGACATAATTTTGTTAAAGAAAAAATTTGAATTTAACACTGGAAATTTGTAATTGGTTTGCTAGCCCCCCCCCCCCCCCCCCCCCCCCAAAAAAAAACACACTCAAAACACAACAGTGGTACCAGGGTTTTTGTTAGGAGGCCCATGTACTGTATAATTTTTATTCTTAAGAATAGTTTTTCTCTTTTTTATTAATTTGACATTGGCATACCGTAAATTTCACCAGGAACCCCCCCCCCCCCCCCCCACATTAACAATCGACACTGCCATTACTTCTACCAACAGTAATGCTATAATTCAAATTTCACTTTCTAAATCCTTCTAAATATAATCATATTTGTACAGAGGATAAGATAAGAGGATAGCAAGCCCCCCCCCCCCCACTCCCTGTTTTCTTTAGTTGGGAAGCATCGAAACATGATTCTATGAAAGCTACCAGTTTGGATACGAAAGGCAGTGAGGATTAGCAGTTTCCATATTTAATGCATTTAGAGTGTTGTCTTTCAAACCTTCTTACATACAATACTTGAAGTAGCAATAATTTCATAATCTACAAAACTTCCCATACAGAAGTCCATAGAGGTAAATGAATTTTAACATGTATAATTATAATCAAAATATCATTGATTAATTCAATCTTTGATATAGACTGATAGACCTTTATCAATCAAATTTGAAGGAGAATCTTTCTGCCCAGTCCTCAGTTTCATCCTATAAGATGGTAGTTGACATTGTTAGAATTTTAATGTTTATTCGTTGAGGATTAGTTATCTTTAATTATTTGAAAGTCGACAAGATGATAAACTTCATTAGCTTTATTGAATGTAGTATTCTACAAACATATAATACAAATAACATATAAATATCATGTAAATATTCCAGTTTAAACCCATCTCTATTGTCCTCTTTCATTATATGAGGGTGGCATCTTTAAGACGTAGTCTCGTGTATATATCTTCTGCATCCATCACTAAAGTTGTAGCCTAGTTTTCAGAAAAAATATAACCCAAGTCTGTTGAATGGAAAAATGAAATAAGATATAAAAAAAATCAACAATGACTAATAACATACACCCCTGAT